GTCAGCGGCTGGGAGGCGCAGGCCGGGCCGGAGTGAGCAGCGCTTACTTGGAGGGGTTGGTGTAAGGCAGGGAGATGGCAAACACGCTGGCGTACTGCTCCGCGGCAAAGTTCCTGTAGAGGTGAGGCAGCCTGGCCAGAGCTGCGGCCCCAGAGACGCCAGTGAGGGGAGCCCAGGCTGTGGCCCCGAGCGCCAGCGCAGCCACCCCCTCCCGACTGCCCCAGCTCGCCACCCAGGGACAGCGAACCGCGGGCCCCGCCTGTGGCCTCTGCCCCGCGCCCCCAGCAGCCTTCCCCTTTCTAAAGGGTCGCGGACAGAACAAAGAAAACGGGACAGGGACCGACTACAGCCCGCAGCGTGACCCGGCATCTCCTGCCCGTCAGTGGAGTGCTGACCCAGCTGCGGGAGCCGGAAGGTCTGCACACAGGGAGGCCTAGGAGGAGGCTGAGCCCTGGGGCATGCTTCGGGGGGCACCGGCTACGGCCAGGCAAGGAGTGGCTGCTCAGGGTGGAGGCGGAGAGGCCAGGAGGACACACGCTCCCAGCACGGGGCAGGGAGGCCCCGAGGCTGCAGCCAGCACACTTAATTCCCCCGGACACGGCCCCAGTCCCAGGCCCAGTGCGCGTGGCACGGATAGGCAGAGCCGGGCCGAGCCGCACTTACTGGACAGGAACTCCAGCAGCGGGACGGCCATGCTGGCTGTGGCTGAGATGTGAGTGAGCTTCACCACCAGGACTGGCAGCGCCTTGACGATGATGTCGGGCATCTCTACGCTGCAGACCGCCAGGGCCAGCACGCACTGGCCAGCGCAGCGGTACACGAGGCCCTGCTCCAGGCAGTACACCACCTCGCGCTGCGGGACGCCACCGACTCAGCCCGCTGCCCGCGGCCCGTCCCACCCTGCCACGGGGGAGCGTCCTGCTGCCCAGGCGCACGCCCGCAGCCTCACCCCTCACCCGGCCAAGCGGCGCGTCACGGGGCAGGGGGCACAACCTGGGGGCCCCGAAGGCCTGTCCAGCAGAACTGTGGCCAGTCCAGTCACGTAGCCTGCACAAGGGCCAACCCACTGGCCCAGCTCCCAGGACACCCAGAACCAGAACGCGCCAGGCCCATGGCCCTCGGCCCAGGCCTCGTCAAGGGAAGGGCCGCCTGCTGGGCCACACCTGCCGCGCTCACCCTGCCCAGGACGTGCCCAACATGGAGCCGCAGCAGACCAGGACCCCCGGGGAGGGGTCTCGCTTTCCTGAAGCTAGCCTGAGCCCTTAGAAACACTAGGGGCCTGGCAAGGAGCACCCAGCCTGCTGCCCGTGAGGCTGGGCACACAGGACGGGCACACTAATGGGGGCGACTTTAAACACAACTTGGTTGTTAGTGTTTTGCCATAGGTGTGTACACTGGCTGGAGAGACGCTGACAGAGAAAAAGTGAGAAATCAGCCCCTGTGTGGAATGGCCATGCTACAATCCCTTCTCCTATTCTCTCAAGAGTTTGGACGTGCACGCTTATGTCCCCAGCCTGATCCTGAAGCCACGAGGTCTGGGATTTGAACTGCTGAGCCAGCTGTGTGGGATCCAGTGCCTTACCCACCATGCCACCTGCTGGCCCGTGGGGAGCTTCTTTGAAGCTGAGCCTGGGTGTCGCACCTTCAGGCCTGCTCCTAACTGTGCCTCCAGCAGGAGCTTAGGGTCAGCAGAGACGTGCTGAGCCCATGCTACGCTGCTGGCCAGAAGAGCCTGGGGCAGGCTCACCACCTGACTGTCGCTCTCCGGGGGCAGTCAGGGCACGGGGAACTCCCTGAGACGGTGCGTGCGTGCAGCAGGGCGGAGCGTCACAGCTGAGCTCTAGCTGACGGCCGTGGGGGGTGGGGCTGTGGCTGTCCGCCCTGCTTCTCCACTCGGCCACTTGTCCCTACGGCCAGGGGACGAGGGCAGCTGTGTGACGCCCAGACCCTCGAAGGAAGCCTGGACACACAGGCCGTAGGTGCTGCAGTGCGGCCTGAGCTGGCTGCCTGCCCAGAGACTGCTGACCCCATCCCGTTCACTCTACGATGAAGCGACGCACAAGGAAACGTGTGCCCACTGGCTCGAGACCAGGCTTTCGAGCCCTGGACCGTTCACGTCAGCCGTCCCTCGCCCCCGCGGACCTGCTTGGTCTTATCCAGGTAGCTGTGGTAGGAGATCAGCGCCGTCAGCACGGGGACCACGGCCAAATGCAGGTCGGTTCTGGAGAACCCTTCCGGGGTGCCTCGGAGTCGTTCGAGGGTCTTGGGGCCTGAAAGCTACAACCAAGACCCAGAGGTAAAGCCCCCCACCCAACACCAGGACACCCAGTAGCCAGAGGGTGCTGTGAGGCCCGTGAGAGCAGAGGCCCCCCAAAAGAGGGGTGTAAGTCCAGGCCTGACCACTTCCTTCCCGGGCAGAGGCCGGTCTTTCCAGAGAAGCAGGTCAGCACCCACCTAGCGACACACCAGGGCAGGTGGAGACATGGCAGTAACTAGCCAGTCGGGGGAGGACAGGGCTGACCGTGCTGTCATGGCTTGACCGGGGCCTCCCATGTCTACCCGGGAACAGAGGGCAAGCTTGCTGGGTGTCTGACACCCCACAGCCCCTGCCCAGCCTCAGAGGTGCCACCTGTGCTGCAGACAGGAGGGGCCCTGGAGCGGCGGAGGCCTGACCTGACACGCCTGGGTCCTTGCTCCTCCCAGAGGCTCCCTGCCATCCGCAGGGCACAGGGCACAGGGCGCGGGACGGGGGGGCCTGTCCTGGGGTCCCGCCCCCATCACACCAGGCTGTACAAGGCCATGGCAGCTCGGCCTGGGGGGTGTGGGGGCGTCACCATGGCGCAGAGGGCGGAAGACAGCTGGTCGACGCTGCACGGGGAGGTGAAGACAAGGACCTTGTAGCGCAGCGACTCAGGCAGCTTGCTGAGCACCAGCTTCAGCACCTTCCAGTCGGTCTCCTGAGGGGACAGCTGCTGTCAGGGAGGGCGGGGCGCTGGCGACGAGGCGGGCCTAAGTTCAGCAAGTGCGGCCTTGACCCCAGAGGCACGCCTCAGACTGTCCTGGCACTGCAGGAGCAGACACAGCTCAAGGAAAGCTTGCCAGGGCCCTGGTAAGCCTGCACCCAGCTCTGGGCCCCCGTATACACCAGGAGTACACGCCTGCACCCAGCTCTGGGCCCGTATACACCAGGAATACACGCCTGCACCCAGCTCTGGGCCCCCGTATACACCAGGAGTACATGCCTGCACCCAGCTCTGGGCCCATATACACCAGGAGTACACGCCTGCACCCAGCTCTGGGCCCCGTATACACGAGGAATGCATATGCCCAAGGTCTACGCTTGCTGAGGTGGGGACAGAGCGTACTAGAAGACCCACTGGGGTTGCTGTCTCACTCAGAGGAGGAATAAAAGGTTTACTCGTGGACCGTGACAGTGACCCTTGCAGACCACCTAAGCCTCCTCCTCCCAACTCTGAGCCCAACTGGGACCTCACCCCACACTGGAGTCCTGCCTGGTCTGGTCTCCAAGGGGCCCTGATGGATGCCCACCCAAGGCGCCAGACGATTCACTCTATGATGAAGCTGAAGCTGGGGCTAAGAAAAGCTACCGCAGTCATTGAGAAGGAAAAAGCAGCAAGTGACCTTCCAATGGCTTATGACCGGAACACTGGCCCAGACCCATGGCCAGTCCCCACCCATGGCCGCTGGAGGGGATCACGGCCCCCAAGCCACTATCCACTGAGAAGTGGCCACCGTCCAGAGTCAAGCCAAGGGGGTGAGTCCCCAAAGTTTTTCATGGACTCCACCTGCGAAGCGGAGACCCAGGGGCTCCAGGGGACTCTCCACCAGGCCCTCTGGTGCCAGGATCTGGCACCCCAGAACCTTGCCCCCGGCCTCTGCCCTGGCCCCAGAGCCTACCCTGAACACCACTGGCCACGTCTCCCTTTCATTGGCCTGGGTCCCCCAGCCTCTGTCTCGGCCCGAGGAGTCTCCCTCTACCTGCCCCACTTCCGGGATTTGCTAGCCCTGCCCTGCCCGGCCCCTCACAAGATGCACGTGCACCCTCCTAGCCCCACACAGGCACGTCCAGGCCAGTTAGTCTGATCTGCACGTCTGAGCCCTGGGAAAGCACCTCCTGCAGCCAGGAAGTCTCGGCTCTGCCCGATGGGCTCGAGGCACAGCAGGAAGCCCGCCGTGGCACCCCGGGCAAACCTCAAAGGCCACTAGACACTAGGAGGAGCTGCAATCTTGCCAGGAACCTGGCACTCCTGGGCGGCGCGGATGGTGACTGGGGGGACCAGCAGCACTCTGGGGCCAGGCCTGTCTCACCTGCTTCAGACACTGCAGCAAGACACGGAAGAGCAGGGAGTAGGGCAGGCGGCCGAGCCGCACGGCAGGGGGGGCTGGGCGGCCCTGCAGGAGGCGAGAGGGGACCGCTGGCCTTCTTCTCAGCGCCTCTCTCTGGCTCCCTGCAAAAGCCAATGGGAAAGGAGCTAAGGCCAGGGCCCTGCTCCACAGGAGCGAGCAGAGCGGCCCCGTGGTACCAGGATCCCCTTCAGATAGACCGTGTCCCCGACTATGGCTGGCCTGACACCCTGGAGCCACAGGAGCCA